AGGTGCCGAGCTTTATACCTCTGGAAAGATATTTCTGCAAGGAATTCATATCAGTTTTCAGATCATAAATCCGAGGTAAGCTCCGCTTTTTACGTGAGCTGAAAGGTTTCAAAAAATCATTTGTTTCTGCAAATCTGATTTTTCCAGTTTCGCAGAGCCAACTTGAGAGAGGTTTTTCCATCGCTCCAGAAAGACCCAGATAGCGATCCACATACCGATCTGTAGATCTCGGATCCTTATTTCCATATCAACTTTCAGATCAGTTTCCGAGGTAAATTACGAAAGTTATCGCTGTACCTTCTCGGCCAAGAAAAAGCCTGAACTTGTGAATCTGAAACCCTTGTTTTTGTATTGTGTGTATCACAGGGCTTGGATACCAACTTCTATTCTTCAGACTTGTCTTTGTTGTGTTTTTAAGGTGAGGACTAGTTAGTAGATTCATTTGATGCATAAGCTGGTCTAGTGATAAGTGTATGCTTGGTATAGATATTAAATTTGAATGATAACTGATGATTGTTAATTGATGATTGAAGAATGATACTAAAGCTTAGAGAAAATGTTGAGTTGCCTGATTGATAAGTTGCTATAACTTGTTATTGTACTGCTGTGAACATGATTGTTTACGGTTTTTTTGACGGCGTACAATGAATAACTGAATATTGTGAAGTTGTAGTGATCGAGAAAGGGCTGACGAGCCATAGTCAAGCCCTACGGAAGGTGGTGGCACCGGTGATTTGTCAAGCCCAGAACGGTTGGTGGTAGAGAATGAATACCATTGACCAATGTTCTTTAGGAATGTGTTATAGAATCTCTAGGTTGATTGCTATGATTGAGTGATTATCTGATTAGAAAGTATTAGAATTATATTATATAATAAATTAAATTAGTTATTATATTCTAGGTTGAATGTTGTGTGGGTTCAGTGTCTATATTATGAATACTCGTGTTACTATATCATATAATGTTTTTATGAATCTTGTGTGCTCCATAAGCATACTTTCACTAAGTATTTTTCTTCGAATACTCACATTTCTCTTTTTTTTCACCGAATAGTAGTACTTGTGGCGGTTGATGCAGTGTTGCTTCCGGAGACCAGTGGCGCATTTTATTTAGTTATTTTAAAAAAAAATTATAATTTCTTTAGTTTTTCTTTAAATATTTAATATTGGGTTTATTGTTAAGACGTTTCAAGTTTCTGATTTATTATTTTTAATAAAAAAAAACTTCTCATAATAAATGAATATTTAATATGAGTGTTATTCTTTCTATAGATAACTGAATGTAAATCAAGTTAGTTTTAATTTGCAAGATTAGAATGTCTCCAACAACAAGATTCCCAATGTTTTCAATAATGGTAACTGCAAAAAGACAACGAAATCTTCTCTAACTTGAGAAAGTAAGAGGAAATATGTATGTTTGGGCAATTGCTTATCGAACTTACCATAAGCAAAGTTAACGAGAAATAATCTATTTTACCTAAAAACACCGGAAGAGAATGGCGCAAGAATAGAAGGATGAACTGCACAAGACGATAAGGAAATAAATAAACTAACTCATAGACCTAAACCCTCAAATCATTTTAACATCTTACATGTTTTAATAAACTAACTCATAAACCTTAAGTATAAATATATAATCCTAATCGGATCCATCATATTATTTTATAATATAAATTTATTAATTTTAAATATTTGATATTTTAGATCGATTAATTATGATAAAATACAATAAGATATTTACTTACTATGCGTTATTATAAAAATATTATTAAAATTTAAAATTTAATTTAAATATAATTTTTATTCAAGAAACTCTATAGTATTAAAATTATTATCTAAATTTCCGTAAGAAAAATTTAATTATATTTTTTTTTTTGAAATTTTTGAACTTTAAATTGAATCTAAATTTTTGTAATGAAATTTAATTATTTTAAATTTCGAATTATTTGAAATTTAAATTAAATCTGACCTATATTGAAGAAAATCTAAAAATATCTAAATTAATAACTAATTTTTGAAATATAAATATAAAATAAAATATTTTTAAAAATTTGGGAAGTGTTTGGAAACAAGTACTAAAAATGCTTTTATTTTAATATAATAGATATATGTATTAATATTATATGTATATATATGTCAAATTTACATATTATATATTAATCAGGTATTTATTATTTTTATTTTTATTTATTTATACAACTATATATATATTAAATATGAATTTAGTAAACAAAAGTCGAACGTGGCGCACTGGTATTTGCTTATTTAGTGTTCTCTAAAGGCGCGGATTCGAATCTGTTTGTGCTTTTTTCCAGTTTTAGGTTAAATAAAGACAAAATGACAACTTTACCCCCAACTTCTTCTTCTTTCATGCGACCTGTAAATTTTTGTCTGCGCCGTTCACCCTTTTTTTTTACGATTTTGATGTTTCTGCTATATATTTTTGTGGATAACACACACTTATGATAGTCTACAATGAAACATCCGATTTCAAGTTTAAAAACATACAAAAAGTGATTTAAAAAAAAAACAACGATTATTGAACCGAATAAATTCAAATCACGGTAGTTGGAAGCTGCCTAACACTTAATCGCCGATCATTTGGCCGATGCTGGTCTGTTTTCGAAAGAACATCGATGTAAATAAATATTGTTTTTTTTAATATATATTTTATCAACTATAATGACATTCTTGTAATAATATTCACTATTTAGACAAAATAGTATAAGACCAACTTTCTAAGGTTAGTCTAGTAAGCCCTTCAATATGTTAGGCTAAGTTTGTCAATGCATTAACTTTAAAGGCTATTCTGAAGAATTTTTACAAATAAGTATCATTGTGTTAATTCAAATTTTTTGGATCTATTTGTTCTCGAGAGTCTAGACAGAGAGAAAGAAACATACTAGCAAGGCAATTACACGGCAAAAAATCAAGCTTTGTGGGGCTATGAAACGAATAAAGCTCGAGATCATCCGCTGCATCCCAGGTTAGAAAATAAGGGGAGCTGTGTAGTGAAATGATTAACGGGGAGCTGTGTAACCAGGTTTATATTGCTGCGTTTTGAACAAGGTTTCATGAGATAATTTCATAAAATAGGAAAAAGGAAACTATATGATTAAATTGTGTTGGACTTATAGAATTCATACTTGACGGCAAATCTCGCATACTGTGTCACCTTTTTCGTTGCACCATCTCTGGACGCAACTATGATGTGCAAACTGCGACGGTTGATGAAAGAGTTCTTGATGTTAAAGAATCAAAATTCAGAGAAGACTCTGTTTATGGAAAACAACTGAAACAAAAAGATAGAGCCAGAAACCAAAACAGCATTATTTGAGTAAGAAACATGTGGACTATCTTATATTGCTTAAGCGAAAATGAACAGTATATGAGATATAAACTGATGCGAGTGATGATCAAGTAAAGCGGAGGACATCAAACCGAACCAAGAAACCAAAACAGCATTATTTGAGTTAATTATTTGGTGTCTCTGTTTTTACGATTCTTATATATCTGTCAATGTTGTGTCAATAAGCGAGAATTGGTCTTCGTGAGATGTAAGAACCATATCTCCCATTTCCCTATGTAGGATCATGATGATCCCACGACAATTCGATACTTTCTATTGCTTCTATATAAATCAAAGAAAACCAAAAAAGAGATAGTCCTAACTGTCTAAAAATCAAGTGTTCTTATGTTCTGTTTTTATTTGTTTTAATCGGGTTCATGCAGAATCTGTGTACCACGATGGAAGACTCCTTGGGCCGTATGATGGAAGCAACCGCCGACCAATGGTGAATTCCCAAAGGAAGTCGGCGATCGGACAGAAGCCCACAGTACGCCTGGGGACCGTATATTTTATTGAAAAGAGTACATGCCACTTCGAGCTGATCACCTTATATCAACATTCGTTGCACCATCTCTAGACGCAGCTATGATGAGCAAACTGCGACGGTTCATGAAAGAGTTCTTAATGTTAGAGAATCAAAATTCAGAGAGGACTCTGTTCACGAAAAACAATGAAACCTTTAATGTTCCTGAACAAGAACAAGGTGTATCCATGTTGAAATTTTCATCTTCGTCATGAAAAATCCTACATTTTACGAATTGGCTCTCACAAATATCAGTTCCTGCAATCACAGATTCAAATGCACCATCCTCGTTAACCGAGTCTGCCTTTGGCTCTACTCGTTAACCGGTCCTAAACCAGAATTGCTTGATAACGATTAACAACCAGCACAAGATGATCTCCCATCCTAACTTTTATCACAAGAGAAAGCCAAAATCCCGAGCTAAGAGCAAGATAAAATGCGTAGTCAAACAACATTTATAAACGAGTATGTTAGGATTTAATGTGGAATTTGAACCAAACTACTCATATGGCCAATTGGTTTTGAGTTTGTATCACAGGTTTATTTGTTTGTTGACCCATGTAGAGTGGGGGTAAAAAGGGTTTATGGCTTATCAATTCACATCAAATTGGGAGTACATGCTACTTCGAGCTGATCACCTTATATCTGTTAGTGGTACGCTCCGCTACCTGATTCAGATCGATTTACATCAAGATCGGCCCAATTAATTCTGGTTTACGATAGTCTTGACCGAAATAGGTTCGGTCTGATTCGTTAGACCTAATAACAAGAGGTGGTGGAGATTATGAGAGAAAACCCTAAGCTCTCTCTCTTCATTAATGCATTATAAATAGAGAACTTGATGACTTTTGGTCTTGGAAAGATCGAGAACTCGTTATTATTGTACTTAGTTCGTCGAGAGACTCCGAACTCAAAAACTTGTAATCCAAACTCAATTAATCAAACATAAAATTTTTTCTAGAATTCAAATTACCAAATTGACCCCAAATAGTTGAGATCCACAATCAACAATATCAACAATTCAAAAGCTTAAAAGATTGAAACGATCAAAATTTACGAATCCAAGACGTACAGACTATTATTAACTGAGTAATAAAATATGATGTTAAAGACTTCAGATCAATAAAAGATGAAGGTCACGAACGAAGGGTTCGCTTCGGCCCATGTGCGATTATAGACTTTCAGTATACAAAAATACTAGAGAAATGCACATTCCAGAATCTATTTATTTTTATCATGACTTTGATAAGATATTATGAAATATTTTTCCAATGAAATATCCGCAAACTAAATATAAAGGTAATATTGGAAAAATATTGCTGAAAATCTTATCAAACTTAAATGAATTATTTTGGCTATTTTATATATATTTGGGGTTGTTATAGCAAAATGTACTTAAAGTTATTTACTGTCATGCAGTTTTTTTATGTACAAAGTATGATTAAAATCTCATTTTTTTTTTTAAAGAGACTTCTTACCGTTTCTCTTTCCAACAAAGCCAAAATCATTAGATTGTATCTTTGCCAATATGTATGACTACATTAATTGCATTTCTAAATGTCCACAATGAAATAAACTATATCAGGAAACAATATACATTTTGATTGAATATCATTTTTCTTTAAAATCTAATTAAAATAATTGACTTGATATAATCTCTATAAACCCAAACAATCAGAAACACTTTAAAAATAGGGATCAAAATTTTTTTGATACTCTAATCAATATTGGTCGGACAATGGCAAGTTTCATTGTACTCAGTGTTCTAATCATTGCAATGATGGTCATGGGAAATGAGTTTTCTGGTATATCTGATGCTGAAATAGATCAACTTTTGAAGAAATTGAATAAACCAGCTCTTAAATCCATCAAGGTTAATTTAATTTGTGCATTTACCCAAGATTACACTCAAATTCAATGTTTTCCATTTTTCTGCTTGCTTTCTATTCTTAGTTGTGTACCATTTTTAATTTTTGTGTAGAGTCCAGATGGAGATATCATAGATTGTGTTCATATGAAGAATCATCCAATTTATGATCATCCTTTATTCAAAAACCACACCATTCAGGTTCGATTTTCTAAAAAACTTTTTGAATCGTTGTAACTTGTAATTAGTATTTTTAACATAAAGTTCTAGACTTTTTTATAGTTCATTTTTTTTATAAACCGCATGCACTATTTATATAGTAGCCAAAACAACATGTTCTATATGGTTGAATTCACTAGATTTGGGTTTATCATTTCTCATATTCAATATACTATTATTGTTCTAACAATATTGGTTGTAGATGAGACCAAGTTCTTATCCAGAAGGATGGGCAAATGAATTATCAGACACCAAGAAACAAAGTATGGTGGCTCAACTCTGGACAATCAATGGAAAATGTCCAAAAAACAGTATTCCAATTAGAAGAACAAAAAGAGAAGATATTTTACGAGCAAAATCAATCGAAATATTTGGAAAAAAGGATCCCAACAGCATTCCTCAACTTAAAAAGGAAAATTCACCTGGTAACAGATCCACACATGAGGTGCATATATATCATTCGATAAGTACTTGAAAATTTGTCATTTTTCCTCTTATGTGTGTAAACTGTGAATATATGTTTTTTAAAAAAAAAATTAATATATGTCTATATATATGTATATATAGTATGCCATACTTGAAGTAAAAGTCAATTCTCCTCGACAAAAGTTTCATGGAGCCAAAGCGGGTATAAATGTGTGGAAACCTTATGTACAAACGCCAAGAGAATTTAGCCTAGCACAAATGTGGGTTCTTGCTGGTACTCCTACAACACTTAACAGCATTGAAGCTGGTTGGCAGGTCTAAGTTTGCTCTTGGATATGCAAATTTTATAGACGTATATTTATATTCTTATCTTGTTTTTTTTTTTCATTTTTATTAATTAGGTGTACCAGAATTATTATGGTGATGACTACCCTCGATACTTTGCTTACTGGACGGTGAGTGGGTTCATTTTTGTGGCATTGTTATACGTATTATTTTTTGTTTTTGCTATTTTTCTCCCAAAATATGTATTTAAAGAAGCAACTGGTTTTTTTTTCTTTTTTTGCTGTCAAAATTATTTTTTTATTTGTGTCGTTTTCTAACATAAATACAGGCTGATGGATACAACCGCACTGGCTGCTATAATCTAAGGTGCCCAGGCTTTGTTCCCGTTAGCCAAGTAGTTGCCTTAGGTGCAGCTGTTCCTCGAGTTTCCATTTTGGATGGTGAACAAGATGTATTTCTCACAACTATATGGAAGGTAAATATCAAACAATTTTTCATCATATAACTTAATACTTTCTCCGGATATTTACAAACTGAGAATGAATGTGTTATATATTTTACTATAGGATTCTCACACTGGAAATTGGTGGTTAAAATTTGGTTCAAATATTATTGGATATTGGCCTTCCTCATTGTTCAATCGTCTACAAACTGGTGCGACCAGAGTCCAATGGGGAGGAGAAATAACAAATTATAAAGAGGGTTCACAACACACCACAACCAATATGGGGAGTGGCCAATTTGCAGAACAAGGATTTAAAAAAGCTAGTTATTTCAGAAATCTTGAGATTCTTGATGAGAATGATATAACGAAACCACCTACCAATCCTTCTCCAATAATGACCGCAGCTAATTGCTACAATATCAGGCCGGGTATTCATCCTCGCGATGGGGTTTTCTTTTTTTATGGTGGCCCTGGCCGAAATCCAAATTGTATTTGATTAATCCAAGTTGTAAGCATCTCGCAATATACAACCATCATAATAATATATATGTGGTGGTCTCAATAAGTTTAAAAGACAAATTTATATTAGACCATAATGTTGCTGCTACTAAGGCTAGTGCTACAATCGTCCATGAATCTCCATAACAATGGTTTTTCTTTTTTGTTTTCGTTACTACATCATGTAACATAAGATTATATGCTAATGGTTCATTGCAGGGTGAACAAGAACACAGCAATCGTGCATATGAGGCTAAGTTATCAGATCCTTGTAGTGCACGGATCATAGCAAAGCAACATTAAATTTTGTGGGTATAGTTGTACACTACGTGTGTTTATGACACACATACGTACAAATCAAACCATACAAACAGAGAAGTAACATATCGATTGTCTTAGTTTACGGGAACATGGAGTTCAAGTCCTTGGGGCAATGCCATCAATATCGGAGGCGGCGCAGTTTCTTCGTCAGAAGAGAAACCAGAGAGTCTCGTATCCTAATTTACAACAAAGGAAGAAATTAACCCATAAGAATCATATTTTGGAAGTCAAAAGAATGTTTCTTACCCTCTCTTGCCTACAACGTTGTATAATGAATGACTTGACAAAGAAATACGCAACGAACAAGATTCCCAATGTTTTCAATAATGGTAACTGCAAAAAAGACAACAAAATATTTCTCAAACTTGAGAAAATAGGAGCAAATATGTATGTTTGAGCAATTGCTTATCGAACTTACCATAAGCAAAGTTAACGAGAAATCATCTACTCCACCTAAAAACACCGGAAGAGAATGGCGCAAGAACAGCAAAAGGATGAACTGCACATGACGACGTAACATATCATTATGTGTTAATTCAGAGATCTATTTGTTCTCAAGAGTCTAGACAGAGAGAAGAAGCATACGAGCAAGGCAATTACGCGACAACACATCAAGCTAGTGGGGCTATGAAATGAATAAAGCTCGTGATCATCAGCTGCGTCCCAGGTTAGAAAATAAGGGTCACGAAGATCTAGTCTCTCGATTCCCCAATCATTCCTACAACATTTCCATCAAAAAAATTTAACTCTCAGTACATTGTGCAGAGGATCAATGGAGGAGGAAGAACAAGATATCAAGACAAGAGCAACAAAAGTACCTGAAGTTCATAGAGAGGCCTGTGTAGTGAAACAATTGTCGTGGAGCTGTGTAACCAGGTTTATATTGCTGCAATTTTAACAAGGTTTCATGAGATAATTTCATATACGCGGAAAAATAAACTCTATGAAGAATTTATACCTGACGGCAAATTTCACAGACGGTGTCACCTTTTTCGTTGCACCATCTTTGGACGCAACTATGATGTGCAAACTGCGACGGTTGATGAAAGAGTTCTTGATGTTAAAGAACCAAAATTCAGACAAGACTCTGCTTTTGGAAACAACTGAAAACAAAAAGATCGAACCTTTAATGTTCCAGACCAAGAACAAGGTGTATCCATGTTGGAATCTTCATCTTCGTCATGACAAATCCTACATTGTACAAATTCTCTCTCACAAATGTCAGTTCCTGCAGTTACAGATTCAAATGCACCATCTTCGTTAACCGAGTCTGCCTTTGGCTCTGCTCGGTTTACCGGTCCTAAACCAGAATTTCCAGATAACCGATCAACAACCAACACTAGATGATCTACCATCCTAATTCTTACCACAAGAGAAAACTCAAATGAAATATAAAAATCAATTCTGCAACAAGAACATCAGAAGAAATCAAAGCTAACGTCTTTAATTATCACAATATGAACAAGTTACATTAAGCAAAACCAAGATCATAGGCAAGAATCAATGGACAACAAGAAAAACTAACAATCTGAGTAAAGGAGACTTTAATCTGAGGATGCAAAGCGCAAAAAGATTCTGATTCTCTGCAAGAAAACTAAAATATCCTTTTTCTTTGCCCTGAATCCTTAACCTTTTACAGAATATTCTTTTCCTTTCTTCTTCTTCTTCTTCTTCATCTTCATCTCAACTTCATTATATTACATTAACATATAAGAAAATTGCATCAATCGTCATAAGTAGAATGAGGAGATGCAGTACATCCAGGATCAAACGGATCTTCAGATCCACAACAATGCCAATACTGTACAACTTTTCCAGAATTTGGTGTATCCATCGTTCCACCAGTGTATACACTCTCGAATTTCCTCTTCGTCTCACCTAAAAACCCAAAATTTCATAAACTCGTTAGAACCCTAATTCACTTCAAACTAAACCCAATTCCCAAAAAAACAAGAATTTTTTACCTCCGAAATGAGCAGTGTGGAATCTGCAAGCGCGAGGGTGATTTAGGAGAGGATCGAATTGGGTTTTGCAATTCTTGCAGGTTCTTAAGCTATTGTTGCCGTCGGAAGAAGCTGAGCATCGTATCCGTTCGATTAAGAGGCACCGTCGCGAGTTTAAGATCGGATTCTTCAATCTCTTGAGGGAGCGAGAGTGAATTAGGGTTTTTGGGTTTGTGAAAGAAGAAAAAATCTGAAAATTGACTAGAGCTTGAGCCATTCTTGCTTCCGTACAAATGGAGAAAACGAACCAGAGAAAATATTTATGAAATAATAATGATAATCTGTTTTTTCGTAATTATAAAAAAAAAACTTTTTTTGTTGATTAGAACGAAACGGCTGCGTTTTAAAACCAAAGTAAAGAGACTCCAAAAAGAAACTTGATCCTCAAGGTTAGGGTTTTTGGTTTGGTCTGGATTTGAAATTTTTTTTTTTTTTTTGCCCTGCTTATTTGATTGAAGTAGTTCAAAATTCAGAAGCTTTTGAAAACTCTAGTGTTGAATCACACTTATACTGTATTAGCAAGACGATGATGGATGTGTAAATCAACTTTGAAATCTGCCTTGAAAAAGTACAAAAAAAAAGAAAAGACAGTAGAGAGTCTAGACAGAGAGATGAAAAAATACTCAAAAGTTAAATAACACAAGAATATTTTTAATATGTTGTCTAAGTTATTATAGTATCTCTTTTTTAAAAAAAAAACAAATTATCATCTATGTTTCCTGTTATTTGGTTTAGGGTTTTCTATTTTATTAGGGCTCGTGTGCCTATATAATCGATATCTTTCACATTGCTTAATGGTGTGAAATAAGAAGACGAGATTTTTCTTAAGAGACTGGAACTCATATAATCCGTTTATTGTTATTCTCTGCTTCTTTTGTGGAAAAAATCCATCTTTTGGGATTTAAAATGTGCACGATCTGTTTATCGTTATTCTTCGTTTTTTTATTGTTGATCATCGAACGAAAATCCATTATAAATTGGGTGAGAAATTTGAGACTGGCCAGACAACAACCGATATCGGCTCATGAAGAGACAACCTTTGAGAAAAATTCGCTGAAGATTCGAATGTTTCTGTGTATCTGCTGGATCCAGATCTTCTCGAATGCCCCATTTGCTGCGATCCCCTCAAGACTCCTATATTTCAGGTTTGATTATTAAAGATTCTTATATTGCAAGCTACTAAACATATACTGTCTTTTGTTTTGTTTTATATTGTTTTAGTGATAACACTCTACGTCTGTCTTGCAGTGTACTAATGGTCATCTAGCTTGTCCTGTGTGCTGCAAGAGAATTAAGAACGTATGCCCCTCTTGTGAGTTACCTATTGGGTACAGTCGTTGCAGAGCCATGGAGAAAGTCATTGCATCGGTTAGAGTGTCATCACTGTGTCCAAATGCCAAATATGGGTGTAAAGAGAATGTTACACAAGAAACTAGCTCAAGCCATGAGGAGCAGTGTGTTTTTGCGCCTTGTTACTGCCCAGTGGGTGACTGCAACTATACAGGCTCACACAAGGATCTCAAGAACCACGTCAATGATGAGCACAAGGAAGGCCTGATTCGTTTTGAGTGGGACACTCCTTTGGGAATTGAGCCTAGTGGCCTCAGTGAGAAGATAACCATTCTTAGAGAGAAGATATATGGGGAACTTATCGTAATCCGGGGGTTTAAAGGATCAGACGGTATGCTTGTAAGTGTGAGCTGCATAGCACCTTTGGCAACTGAAAAGGGCAGATTGTCTTGCAGTCTGGAATTGAGAACCTCAAGAAACACACTGAAGCATATGTTGATAGTGAAGGCGATTCAGAAAACGAGCGAGGAACAGCCCAAAGAAGATTTCGTGTTGATTCCTTCCTATATGATCAGGTTGATATGCTCTGTGGAAATTTGCGTGAGCCGTACGTAGTTGTTTCCTATTTTCTTAAGCTTGATAAATTTCAACGAGCACAATTGGTTTGAGGTTACATGAACAGAAACGTGCATATATAGTTCTTTTATTCTATAACATTGTGCTTCAGATATTTTATTTCGAGATCTAATTGACGTAGCAAATACAGTTTGATCCTCAAAAAGAGAACTAAAACAATTTCATACTTACAGGATAACACAAGAAAATTTATGTTTTGTTTTTTTTTTTTTGTGTTTTATTAATAAGAGATTAAAAATACTATAGAGGCGGTAAGAGTCTCTACAATAGTACGAGACTTTCATAGTCAAGAATATAGCAAGAGCAAAAGTAGGGTTTTTATTCAAGTCGTATAAACGGATCTAGCATATCAGTCCAAATGCCAAATACGGACGTAAAAAAAGAATCCCATCTTTAGAAGAAGGTGAGAATGGATTAGATTTAAAAGGTTCAAGAGGTTTTTGGATCAATGAGTAGCGTTTCACTAGAAACGTAGATAATTATGCTTACCACTTCTTTTTTCACAAGTGAGTGAATGTAATTCAATAAGACTATACAACTGCTTGCGTCTGCAGTGTGATAATGGTCATCTAGGTTTTAAAAATAGTCTTTTCACTTACGAAAATTAAAGTCATATAAGAAACATACAAAAAAAAGTGTCAGTCAAGCAAATAAAAAGTGAATTTCTGTGCAGTTTATCTCTAAGTTATTTTCTCTCTTTTTTCTATATTTCCTTTAAATGGGTTTATGGTATTCTATATTATTAGAGCTTTTATCTTATTTTATTTATAAAGTTGAATCTCTCAACAAGGACACACCAAATTTTTATAACTTATTAGGTAGTTTTGCCCGCGTCCTGCGCGGGCCGCGAGGTTTCAAAACCTTGTTGAATTAATTATGTGGTATTAAAATCATTAAGGAATACATTTTTTTAATTGTATAAAATTCATCGTCAAAAGCTCTCTGATCATGATCATAAAGTTTCTGATCAAGAGATTTTCAACACTCTTCGCAATCATATAGATAAATGTATAGTTAAAAGTTGATTCGCTAGTAAATATTTAATTTGGTGAGAATAATGCATAAACTTTACAGGAAAAATTACATGATATGTAAGAAACTTTAAAACAGAGTAAATAGTCTACAACAAATCGTAAGAGCACCTAGAAAACAACCATTATTCAAAAAATATGAAACAAAATATTATATTGTAAACCGAATAAAATTTAACAACTATTTAAGAAATACATAAAGAAAAATAGAGCAAACCCAAAAGAGTAAACACGATCCAAGATTAAAGATCCAAAATGCAATAGTAAATAAATGTATAAAACTCACAAACCAACTGAACTAAGACAAACATGAGTTTATAATCGTTTTACCATCTTTTTTTATTTTTCTCTAATTTACCTTTTAGTTTTTCTTCTTTGTCGTCTTTTCCTTAATTTTTTCATCTTCTTCTAACTTTATTTCTCCTTCTTCTCTCACATTTTCTTTCGTTTTTTAATTTCTTCTTCCTTCTCCTCTTTATTCTCTATGTCTTTTCTAACTTCTTATTCTTCAGGTTTTTCTTTGTCATGCCTTCTTCTTCGTGTTTTCCACATCTTCTCCTCATCATCTTCCTCTTATGCTTTTTCTTCTTCTTCATCTCATTCATCTTCTTTGTTCTCTGAGACTTCATATTCTTCTGGTTTACCTTAATCTTTTATATCAATCAAATATATGTACCTGAAAATCTTAATTTTCTCTCTCCTTATGTCCTTCCCTATCATTCTCTTTCTCCCTCTATCTCATGCAATCTTTATCTCTAACTATCTTTTTCCTCCCTTGTCTGAAATTGTATATATCATGCATTTAAAAGTACGAAGTATTTCTGATTAATAAAAAATAGAACACAAAAGAAACAAACTAAAGATTTAATAACAACCAATTATATTTACTTTGAAGATTTAACTCTCTATCCTTTTTCTCATTCTCTCTCCATCCTACTCTATCCCACCCACCACCCCTCTCCCCCCCCGCCCTTCTTTCTCTCTCCCCT